AAGCGAGGAAGGCCCAAGTGGAAGCGCATTGAATCAGGAGGACGACGCTGTTAGTCAAATGCTGTTGGCATCCTAGGCTGTTCGCGATGTTCGATATCCGCTGTGTTTCTTCGAGCCCATGATGCAGCGCGTGCTAGCCCGAAAGGCGTACTGGTTCCAACCAGACCTCCCTACGACTGGTTGTGTCACGGGCGCGCCGTTGGCGGCTAAGCAAGGGCCTTGCTGGATACTTTCACAGTGCATGTTTTCTGACGTCTCGATCGGGTGCCGGCGCGTTGTTTGGCGCATGTAGCTTCACAAGTTGGATTATCTGACGGTAGATTTTGAATGGTGCGAAATACTTGGTACGCGAGCATGTTCTCCGGCTGCCACAACTCGCGAGTCAACACTTCGTCTAGGTCTTCGATGAATTGTTCGCTGTGGAAATACTCTGGCGAGATGCCCTGGGCACACAGAGTCATGAGTTGGTGGACATGCCGATTATACCAGAGCTTTGCACGTGAGGTACTCCACGTCCTCGGGGGCGAAAGGATCGTTTCGCACTGTGAGTAATTGAACCACCACCTGAGGTGCCACTGCGCGACCTTGGCAATTGTGACGGGCAGGAGCGTCAAGCCGACGACCAACAGGTTGGCCACGCTGTGCATTCAAGCACCGAGGAAACGTTCGATGAGCTGGCAGACAAACCTGGGCTTGGTGTATCCGCCAGAGATTTCTGCATTCTCCATGAGTTCGTCGACGATCGCTGTTTCCTCGGCGCGGATGTGCTCTTTCTTCTGCTTCTTGTCTTTCCCTCCAACCCCGCGCTGCCGCGTCTTTAAACTTGCCTGAGCACTTCGACTTCATTGGATCGATTGAGCTTGGGCACGACGTCTTGGCTCTTGGAGGAACGACAGCATGACCATGGGAGGAACAACACGAGTCTGAAGGGGACTTACCTCTCGAAAGTACGCCAGTGCTTGCCAGTGGCGATGCAGCTGAACATAGTATTGCACGAGCGACAAAAACATCACACGGTCGTCAGATTTTGGCGCGTACACGTGGTTGACGTGCATGATCATACGCTTGTCGAGAGAGACCCCCCGACAACACTTCGTATGCTGTTTCAATTTCCTGGAATATCTGGGCCGCGTCGGGACTCGAGTTCTTGTCCAGGTGGAATTGCAGTGACGGTGTCCTGTATGTCCGTCGGATGTCCGCCGTTGTTGCGGTTGTTTCTTGTCCTCGCAAGCCAAGAATGGCGTAGCACTCACGGCGGCCACAGTACATGTTTTGTGCATAGTTCTGTGCATAGGTTGAAACGATGAGGAGCTGGAGCCCCAGCAAAACGAACGCGCCGCAGCGCCGCCGACACGTCATCAAGTTGTGAAAAGGGAGGGTCGACGGATGCATTGACATCGGAGCTATCATCAATTTTTCTCAAGTGGAAAATTTCTCAAGGAAAATGTATAGAACACTGCATATTAAAAAACAAGGTGGTATCCGGATCCATCCGCACAATACACGACAGGGGACGGCGGCGGCGGCAATGGTCAGGAAGAAGGGAGTTCTCTCTATAAGTTAACGTTTCTTGCAAGTGAAGGGAGTCTATAGTCCAGGAGGACGGATGGCCGCAGCAGCTTGGGGGTCGGGATTAAACACCGGAAACGGTAGGGACGCAACTTTGGGTTGCAGATTCAGGTTGAGTTAACGCAGCACGCGGTTTTCATGTTGTACTTGCTCGAGTCGCGCTAGTAGGCCGCAAGTCAGAACGCACAAGCCTTTCTGCGCCAGAAACGAGTGCACGCACCAAGAGCTTGGGCCAAGTGTTCGCGGAGCTGCCGATTCTCCGCCTAAGCCAAGATGGATCATCAACCTCACTTTGCCTGTCGACCGCCGTACCTGGCCATTGCGGTTGACAGTGACCAGCGACTCGGCAGTTTGCTTGAAATACTGCTATGTATCTACCCGGAGTACCCAGTTGAGGGATTCGCTCCACTTCACCAGAGTCCTGAACAGCGGAGGTTACCACCATTCCCACATTGTTTATTGCAATCTATGCATCAAATGTTAATTCGAATTTTACGATGGTGTTGCCTACAAAGAAGAACAAAAGAGCCAGTTCTGCCTACAAAGTAGAATATATATTGAATGCATTTGGAAGCCTTCGATCTAAAGTGCGTATGTCACCATACACAGTACTAACTGTTAGGTTTGTTGACTCCGTATGAGAACTACTCTGTTTTGGATTAATGCCAGGAATTGATGTGTTGACATAAGGAGGGTTAGCTTCACTTCCTGCATGGAGGACTGCGACAAAGCTGCATCGAAGACATGCAAC